TTGCACCGGTGGCTGCTGCTGCATCGGTGGCGGGGCCATCATCGGCTGCTTTTGCATCTGCATCAGCGGCGGGGCCATCATCGGCTGCTGTTGCATCTGCATCGGTGGCCGGGCCATCATCGGCTGCTGTTGCATCTGCATCAGTGGCGGGGCCTGCTGCTGCTGCTGCATCATCATCAGCTGTTGCTGCTGCATCATCTGTAGCTGCTGCTGCTGCTGCTGGGGCATCGCGGCTGGCATCGCGGCTGGCCGGATTGGCCATGGGCCTGGGGGCTGCTGCTGCTCGTGGTGCTGCGGCTGCTGTGGTGGTCGTGATGCTCGGGCTGGGGGTTGCGGTGGCATCACTGGCTTTTGCTGCTGCTGCATCGGTGCAGCCTGTGGCAGCGTCTGCTTCGGTGGGTGCTTCGGTGGTGTCATGGGCTGCTGCTTGCCCAGGTCTATGGTCTGCTGCTGCTGCTGCTTCGGCGGCTGCTGCTTCTGTGGGGGGAGATTGGAAGGCATCGTCTTTGCTGCTGATGCCGGGGGGAGCTTCGGCCTCTGCTTTGGTGCTGGTGGGCGCTTCGGGGCTGTTTGGGGCATCTGATTTGGTGCTGGTGGACGCTTCGGGGCTGTTTGGGGAAGACTCTGCTTTGGTGCTGGTGGGCGCTTCGGGGCTGCCTGGACCTGCTCCTCCTTCGGCCTCTCCTGCTTTGGCTCCTTCTGCTCCTTCTTTGCTGGCTCCTCCTGCTCCTTCAACTTCTTTGGAGCTTCCTGCTCCTTCTTTGATGGCTCCTCCTGCTCCTTCTTTGCTGGCTCCTCCTGCTCCTTCAACTTCTTTGGCTCCTCTTTCTCCATCTTTGGCTCCTCCTGCTCCTTGAACTTCTTTGGCTCCTCCTTCTCCATCTTTGGCTCTTCCTCCTTCTTTGATGGCTCCTCCTGCTCCATCTTCTTTGGCTCGTCCTCCTGCTCCATTTCTGGCTCCTCCTTCTCCTGCTTTCTCTTCTTCTTCGGCCGCGATCCTTCTGCTGCACCCTCATTTTTTGCTTCCTCGGACTCGGCTTTCGATTTCTCTCTTTTTCTGTCCTTCTTCTCTCTCCTCTCTTCTTTAACTTTCCTCTCTTCAACTTCTTTCCTCTCTTTTTTCTCCTTCTTTTCCTTCTTTATTTTCTTGCCTCCTTCTGTCTCTGACTTTGACTTTCCCATGGCACCGCACCGGCGGGGGCATGACAGTTTTTTTGCGTAGCTTCTTTGTTGTGTGTCTCTTGGTTGTTGCTTTCCAAGTCTGTCCATGTATACTGCTTTGTGCATTGCATGGGCAGTGTGAATGTGTATCTGGCAGTGTGCAAGTGCTGGTGTGGCAGTATGTGGGTTTAGTGGCAGTATATGAGAGTGTGTGTGTGTGTGTGGTTGTGGCGGTTGTGGCAATGCATGTGAAAACACATGAATACCAGAAACCAATCTTGCTGTCATATATATAATAAGCTAACTACAACAACATAAACACATGTGCACACCATGATGCGCCTGTCAGCATTATGTTGTTTTTTCAATGAGAGCCAAAAGCAGATAGGTCCATACAGCAATGTAGGTGCAGTGAACGTGCTTGCATGCAGATGATCCCAAACCATAGTTAATTTCTGGGTAGCCTCTAGTTAGAATTCCAATCAGTGACATTTCAGGCTGTCAGATTGGGGCGACCGACGGCTTTCAAAGACTTCCAGACCAGTAGGGTAGCCCAACCTGGGTGGCGGATGTTTCAGGTATAAACTGGATATTACTGTATATCTTGCGGGACACCCCTCACGGCATCCCTTTATCCCTTAATTGCGGAAGGACACCATCGCGGCATCCCTGATTTGTGGGGAGGACACCATCACGGCATCCCTTAGTTGTGGGAGGACACCATCACGGCATCCATCCAACAACCATATGTACGTACCATACACACTTCTTGTTGGCCACCAAAATTAAAACCTTGAGACCGGTCATCCGACAAGGGTATGCTTTACGATTCTTGGGATATGTCCCCGAGAAAAAAAAAGATCTATGCTTGTTCCAAAGAGCTTTCAAGGTCGACTTTGGCTGGGCTGAAGATATGTTCGGGTAAGAGAGCTGATCCATGGCATCCATTTAAAGTTATTATTATTATTATTGTTTTAAACAGATTTTGACACCATCACTGCGTCTCGCTCTTTCTGAGGCAACCCACGCCCTTGGCTGGCCTCGACCTAAAGATGCCGCGACGGTGTCTCATCATGAGCACAAGATGCCGCGAAGGTGTCTCATGCGTCTCATGAGCATGCCGTGATGGTGTGCGTGTGTGCAATGATGATGCCGTGAAGGTGTCACACGAGCATGCCGTGATGGTGTGCGTGCAATGTTGATGCCGTGAAGGTGTCACACGAGCATGCCGTGATGGTGTGCGTGCAATCTGATGCCGTGAAGGTGTCACATGATGGCTCGCTAAGGCGATGGCCATGAAGAAACTTGAACTTGAACAACACCGAGAACCGAAGAAGGCCCTGGCCTCGGACGCACACAAGCGGACACACAAAAGATGCAAGCTCATGCAAAGAAAAAACCATGCAAAAAAAGCTCAAGCATGTGAAAGTGAATGAAGTCATCCGGACAGCCGCCTTTTTGCCCAAAAGGCGGCTCTTGCAGGAAGAACTTTGTTGTTAGAATTGATGTAAAAATGTTGGCATTTTTTCGGCAATGTTGAATCTCTTCATAATTCATAAATGCATCTTTGCAGAAACGCGGCTTAGCCATCGAGGCATCTTACATAACCCTATTCTAAACAGTACATAACTCTACTCTTAATCTACTCTTTTTTTTGCCAGCCATGCCTTCGAAGTCTCATCGCCAGCAATGCCCTGAGCCCGGGCAGGAGCTGCCCAGGAGAGGAGACAGAATTCTGCTCCTTACCAAGCGGTGGTTGGAGGAAATCCTTCTTCGTGGCAAGAGCTTGGAGGTCCGCGGTGCACCTTTGGCAAGTGGCTGGACGTGGTTGGGGTGCAAAGGCTTTGTGATTGCTCTGGCAAAGCTCAGTGACTCCCATCGAGTCGCAAGCTTGGAAGAGTTCAAATCGCTCAGAGAATTTCATCACGTTCATGCCGATGAACTGCCATACAAAAAGACTTGGGTGACAGAGGTAAGTGATGTACAAGCCTTGGCGAACCCGATTAAATTCCAGACCAAGCCGGGGCCCATCACCTGGAACAAATTTGAGCCTGCAGTTGTGGCCAATGGGGCCGGGGCGAAGGTGAGCTTGCAGAAAGTCAAGAAGACGGTGAGCAAGAAGATGACAGCCAATGTCCGAAGTGTGATAGCTGAAGCAGCGGTGGCAGCATCTGTGCCCATCTCCGTCCTTGAGAACCCTTCGCTGTTCACAATTGGCTCAGCATGTTCTGGCTGGTGCAGCGAGCTGCACGCATGTCGTCGATTGGGGCTGCCGTTCATTCCAGTCTTCGGGTGTGACATTTCTCCTCACTGCAAGGCTCTGTGTGAGGAGACATGGGGCCACAGCTTGTGGTATGATGATTGCGAAGGAGATGCCTTTCTCAACAGTCCATATGTGGATGTATTTCTGGCTGGTTTCCCGTGCCAACCATTTTCCAAGGCCGGGCTCTGTGAAGGCGAGCAGGACAGGAAAGGGAGGGGCCAGATTTTTTGGTCATTGGCCTTGTGGATTCAAAAGCATGTTCCACGTGTCTTCATTCTGGAGAACGTGAAGAACCTACTGGATTCGCACTATGAGTTTCTTTTGGACGTGATGGAAACCCTTCAAAAGATCCAGTGGAACGGGCAAGCTGCTTATCATGTGTCCTGGAAAGTCTTGAACGCCCGGGACTGCGGTACACCTCAGAACAGAGAGCGTGTGCTGATTTGTGGCATTCGTGCAGGCCCTGGGGCTCGCCCAATGATTTGGCCAAAGAAAGTCGGCATGGAGGACATCTATGCTTACATAGATCCTGCCACTGAAGGCGAGGCAGGGTTTCCTGGCAGGTTGCCATCCAGCGAATCTGAGAGGAGAAACTTGTTGCTTGTTTTGGATCAGCTGAAATCCCAAGGAAAGGATCCACTTCGAAGCCCCATTGTGGTCGACATCGGTGGGTCCAAGCCTCACTACAATGAAGGCTACTCGCCTTGCTTGACCCACTGTCGCGCTGGCAGCGGTGGGCATTGGCTGACCTGGAAGCAACGCAAAATGACAACCTGCGAGCTTTTGAAAATTATGGATGTGCCGCCAGGTGATGTGAAGTGGTCATCAGTGTCGCCACGGCAGCTAGGTTTGATGGCTGGAAATGCAATCCCAGTCAAGATGCTTTCCATGGTGTTGAGCCAAGCGCTGAAATGCGCCAATCTGCAGTGACTGCAGTTGCCGGGGTCTCTAACTTATTGATGCGGGGCAAAAAACAGGCAAGCTGCTCTGATTAGTCATTTCAAGATCGTTCAAGGCAGTTTCAAGATGTTTCCAGCCAGTTTCAAAACTGCTCCCGTCACCATATAAAATTTGTGTGCGCTGCCAATTTCAAGATGGTTAATTACTGCCAATGCGTTTGAGCCAAGGTCCATGAAGGAAGCTGTTTCAACCCAATGCCAGGGACCTCAAAGGGGGTCAGGATGCCAAAGGGGGTGAGGACAGAGTCAGGTGCCATGGATCATGTTGAGTCGAGATAACAAAAAAATGGGAAAGACGGAAAGATCTGTTTTATGTTTCCCCGTGACACTTATCCTTTACGGTATGTCAATGTGTCAGTCAGGGTGACGCAAAAAGCCAATTTGCTTGTACGGGCCCAAAAGTTCCAGGGATCATGTTGTTCTGCCATGAATACAACAAGAGGACACAACAGTCACATTGAACATATTAACAAACAAACAAAATCGAACAAATCTAAAACAGCAAACCAATCAAACAGAGTGCAGCAGACTCAAGCCAAACAGAGAAGCCGTGTGAAGCCAGATCCCAACACTCAATTTTATTTTCTTAATTGCGGTGTCTGTTGCGGGGGAACGCAATGGAAAAGCTGGATGTCAAAACTCACCTCACCCATGTCCAGCTGTGTGAAGATAGCGGGTGCTTCAGATGCTCTTTTCTTGACCTTGCCGGAACTTGGATGAAAAAGCTGCCTTGGCTGACTGAAAAGAAGAAGGGTGAATGGGGTCTTCTATGCAAGCTTTGTTCCCGCCATGTGCCGCAGCTTGCCTTTGGACTGAATGGCTTCAATGGGCCGGGAAATTTCTACACTGTGAGCCGGCATGCTGATTCCAAGCAGCACAAGCTTGCATTGAGTTTGGCTGGTCAAGCCGGCGGAGTTGATTCCAGGGCGCCGCCGAAGAAAGAGTTTGAAGAGTTTGCCACCAAAAGGCAAGCCGCTGGATCACTGAGATCTATGAAGGCAGTAGGTGGCCGTTGGAAGCTGGCCAGATTGCAGAACTGTTTGGGAGGCGCTTGCCAACGCATAGATGCGGCTTTCCTTCTTTCATCCACATGCATCGTGCTCCACCAAGATGTACGCAGGTTGGTTCTGATGGTACGTTTCCGGGCGTGCAATGACAAGCTGGAAGTCAAGCGTGGGTTGCTGGGAATACACCATCTTCAAGACAGCATGACAGAGTCGCTTGTTCAGGGCACAAGAGCCATCTTGTCACAATTTGTTGAAGGGGATGAAGATCAAATGGCCGCTTTGCAACAGAAGGTCATTCTACTGAACATGGATGCTGCAGCAGATGAGCAGCTGGCAGGTAGGCTCATGGCCTGCAATGACGGTCTGTTCCCAGGTGTGAAACAGGTGTGCCGGGACCGCGCGCATGCGGCTCGGCGAGTCATTTCCCGTCCATTCAAGGCGTCCGCTGAAATTTGGGATGTGTTTCAAGCCTTGATCTGGGGCAACGCTTCAATGCCTGCAACCATTCAGAGCAGTGATGTGTTGAGGAAAGTGTTCAGCCAGTACGTCAAAGACATGGGCGGTGACCGGGTTCAGTCAATGTCGCTGTGCAAGCAAAGGTTTGATTCGCACCAGAAGGCAACTGGCCGTTTGATTCTGTGGCTGCGTCCGACCATCAAAACGGCAATCTATGCGACAGTTTACAGACACAATTTGCGGGACGGTGAACGAGGTGCATTGTTCTTGCGCTCTCTCAGTGAAGAGCGGGTGTTGCTTTTAGCAATGGTGGCTGACTTCACTGATGAAGCGACAAGCATCATCCGACTCATGGATTCAGAAGCTGGCGATGTTGCCACGCACAACATCGAACTCGATGTATTTGCAAGTCGGGTGAAGCATCTTTTCATTGATGAGCATGCGACTAGATCTGAGTATACCATGTTTGCGCTGGAGAGCTTGAAAACCCCAATCGTCACTGGGCAAAATCATTTTAGTGCTTATGCCAATGCTTTTATGCTTACCTGTTTAGTGCCAAAAGAACTGTTTTTAAACGTGTGCCTGTGTGCCTTTTTTGGTTTCGCGTTGTGTTTCCCCCCGTTGTTGTTTCCTCTGCCCTGGCCTTCATATTTATCTGTTTGAGTGGGAGTTCCGATGTTTGCAGGCTTTCGATGTGGATGGCAAGTCGAAGACTCTGGGTGGTCCGAACAAAGTTTCTCCAGCCATGATCGCCCGGTGCTTTGCTTCTATGAAGAAACTGGTTGGGCTGAGCACAGAAGTGATTGCGTCGGAGTTTCCTGCATATGAGATTCTGACCGCCCTGAAAATCTTCGATGTATCCGAAGTAGCCCGGACAAACAGGGAGGAATCCGTGGACTACATACAGTCGTTGCACACTTCTTCGGAAAGATTGTGCCAACTGTTCGAGGCGTCGGCTGATTCCTTCATTGATGAGTACTGGGATCACAAAGCTATAGCTTTTCATCACCATTCGACCAATCCCAACTGCAGCAGCTTCGAATCTTGGAAATACGCAGTCCAGAAAACTAGCTCTCGCAAGTCAACAGCAGCTCGCCATCCATCTTCAAACTTGCACTGGATTCTCATTCACTTTGGTGCTCTAGATGGATGCACCACATCCGGAGTGGAGCAGCACTTTTCGAAGATGGTGCGCATTGTGTCTGCTGAAAGATCATTGCTGACTGAAGAAAACAAAAATTTGGAGTTGAAATTTATGTTCGACTTCGCCCCGGCCACTTCCACTGACTGCATTGAGATGGCCCAGCAGCTGTGGATCGAATGGTATGGTGAACCCAGGAAAGGATCAACATCCAGACTTGATTTGGGTACCAAACGAGGGCACAAGAAGGGTTCTGAAGCTGATTTCTTGGCCAAAAGACGCCGTTTGGATGGACCGGTCAAACTTTTGCCTCATGATGAAGTACGGCTCGAAGCAAGTGCGAATCTGCCAGCAGATTGTCAGCGTGTCCAGGCAGAATTGACATTTCAGAGAAACAAGCAGTTCAAGAACACAATCCAATCGTACTTAAGTGGTCACTTGACAGCCAAGGAAGTGCCAGATGGGATGGTTGATGTGGCTCAAGCATTTGTTGAATTGGAGACTCGCAGAGATGCCACCAGAGTACGGGGAGTTTCAAAATTCCAAGCCTTGTTGGCCCCATCCCCGCCACAGTTTGATCGGCGGAACCACTGGATCTTCCTGGAGATGGCAGAGTGGAGCCAGAACCCTGAATTTTTCAGGTGCAAGGTGACCCAGGACTTGCAGCTGCCTTTGTTTTTCGTTGTGGCCAACCCGGAGAAACCGCCTTCACAAGTTCTTTGGGCAGCCTCTGTGCGAGGAGGTTGTGTTCTGGACCTGGCATGCATGCGGGGCATCATTGAAAACCGTCATGATAAGGCAACAACAGGAATTGCCTTCCTCTATGATGCGGCGTACGCAATCAAGCGGCAGATTTTCTTGTGCCCTAGCTTTCGTGCTGCGAACACGGAAGCCAGTGAAATTATTCAAGCAGCAGCAGGCCAGGAGAGATCGAAGTGGAAGATGATTGATGGAGGTTGGGAAGCCTTCGCTGAAGCATCTGCTAAGAGCCAGCAAGCTGGCCGCAAGTGGGCTATGCTGGGGCTGACCATTCCGCAAATAGCTGCTAACATGCAGGAAGACAATCTCATGTCCAGCAAAACATTTCTCAAGTTTGTGAGCAGGGTTCATTGCTGCAATCGCAGCTTCTGATTTGCCTACCGGGGTAGCAGGGAAAAAGTGGCGTTGCTGCATGGCTGGACTTCCACCTGCTGTGCTGGATCAGTCGCTCAATCCTTTTCTCAGATGGAACTAACGCTTGCCCCTTAGGTGCTGCTGGCACAGTACGGATGGCTGGGTCAGGGCCCAAGGATGGAATTGCTCAACGGGGTGCTGTAAAGTCAGATGCAGTGATGGTGTCTTCAACAAAGTTAGATGCCGTGAGGGTGTCTTGAACAAAGTTAGGTGCCGTGAGGGTGTCTTGAACAAAGTTAGATGCCGTGAGGGTGTCTTGAACAAAGTTAGATGCCGTAAGGGTGTCTTGAACAAAGTTAGATGCCGTGAGGGTGTCTTGAACAAAGTTAGATGCCGTGAGGGTGTCTTGAACAAAGTGCAGCTGGCCTTCAGACTTATCATTAATTGGCCTTCAAATTGAAACTGTATGTGTAAAAGTTTTACAACTCTGCGGTTCTTTCATGGCAGGATTCCAAACATCAACACTGACTGTGATCATGGTTTGAGGCTGTGAAATATTGGACATCATTTCACCGCTGTAGCATCAAAGTTGTTTCCATTTGCCCAGATCTGTCAACTTTGTTATTTCACATCTGCAGCCGCTTTGGCATTCCGTCATCCCGTCCCAGCCCAGATCCTTTCTTTCTTTGGCCCAGCCATGGACTGCCCAGTCTGCAACAGGACATTGCCATCAAGCATGTGGGGATCCGCGCAATGGAGAGAACGGCAGTGGTCATTGGACGGTTGGGCATGTGGATGCAAGGAGTGATGCTTGGTTTTATTTTGTTTTGTTTGGTTTTGCTTTGTTTTGTTTTGCTTTTTTGTTTTGTCTTGTTTTGTTTTGTGTTTTGTCTCCGGCTTGTTTGATCCCAGGTCGGTTGAACAAGACCCCTTTACCTTCCTACAGCCTGTACCACATGAAAAGGGCAAGGAGATACATGGATCACCTCGACTGACTTGACATCTACCAGGAGACGGAAGACTTCTTTCGGATAGGTCAATTTAAAACCTATCACGGAAGTGCACATCTTGCCTGTGAACTTCCAGATGTTGGTCACTGTCTTTGGGCATTGGTCAAGAGAGTGACATATAGAGGTGAGCCCTTTCCAACAGCCTTCTCAGATGGAACTTTCATGGAAGGGTTCACAGCCTACACCCGTCACCCTCATCTTGTCACTGCACTGACATGGCACTTGCTCCTCGTCTTATTCTTGAGTATGTTGTCACTGCCAAAAAAATGAATTTCTATTTTGATGGCAGCCCACCCACCAACTGCAAATGTTTGATAAATTGGTTTTCTTAAGCAGCTAGACTCCAAAGGTTCCAGGCTTTGAAGTATGTGCAGATTGACTCCCATGAGCTGGACGAATTTCGAAGGGAAGCAACTTTTGAATCCGTGGAGCACTTTGTTTGGAAGAAGTGTGGGTGGCGGCAATTTCAATGACAGCAGCTTCTAATTTAGCGTCTGGGTAAAACCCCACTGCAACTCAATAGCAAATCAATAGCAACCTCACTGCGACCTCAATCTCATTTTCAGGTTAGTGACAAACCAACATTTACCCAGACTCAGAAGTTGAAATGGTGAGGAATCACCAGGAATTGAACAGTGGTAAATGACCATTGTCACCTGTCCATCGTCTTAAGATGTTCAAAACATTTTGGAATGGATGAACACCATCCTGAAACTTCATGGAATTGACCATCGTCTTAAGATGTTCAAAAAAAATTGGAATCGGATGAAAACCATCCTGAAACTTCGCAAACTTTATGTGAAAAAAGTGAGAAAAATGTTGCAATTGCAACTTAGCTTGTTAGCACGACTCAGTTTGCGTTTGGCCCTGTTGTGTCTCCCCCGTTGTATCTTCCCCGTCGTGGCCCTGTCGCGCCACGGAGGCCACGACCCTCCCCGGAGGCCACGCTTTCCCATTGAGGCCACGACCTCAGAAAAAGAAGCCAGCCGTCAAGCTATGTTCGGCGAGGCCATGGAATTCGGCTGATACCCTGATGGATAGCTTTAAAAAAGGGGGAGTGATACTCCGTTATGGCCCAAATATTGCTTAAATATTTTTCATTTTTTTCTGTTTTTCATTTTTTTCATTTTCTTTTCATTTTGTTTTCATCAGTATCTGATATCCGTATATTATCCAGGTCATGCTCCATACATACATAGATACATAGTACATACATATAATACATATAATTTAAATTATTTTTTCATTGTTTCATGTTCTTGTCATTATTTTTTCCTAGTTGATCAATGCTTTTCAATACGATCAACAGTTCATGATATTTTTCAACTTTCCTTTCATTTTACATGTTTTGATCATCGTTAATTTTTCATCTTCATGAATCAGTGATTCTTTCCCGGTTGGCCTGAGGTTGACTCCTGGCTCCTTGTGAACGGTCGGGTGGCTCAATCGCGACTGGCTTGTCATGATTTTTTCTGAATTATTTACATAGTTTCTGAATTACCTGGCATGTCATGGCTCATGGCTTGGTCATGATTTTTTCTGGCCCTTCCGAAGCATTTTTTGCTTGAAATCACCCAAGCCCGACTGACTCCCTCGATATCCTCGATCCCCTTCGCATCGCATCGTGACAAGCGATGGCCGCTTCGGTGCAGACCGTAAATGCGAAGCATCTGCAAGCCTTGGAGGATTGCATGAACGTGTTGCTGTCCCACCCAATCTTCGACGCGGTGCAGTCAATGCCGCCGCAGGCGATTGACAGTGCAGCGGAGCAGAACGAAGCGGGGTCACAGGCGGGATTAGCGTGTGATCTTTCATGTCTATCCAGTTTAATTTGAGTTATTGCGTGTGATCTTTCATGATAACCCATCAGATAAGGGACATGCTCGGATCGTGTGCGGATCGTGCGCGGATCGTGCACGGATCGTGCGCGGATCGTGCGCGGATCGTGCACGGATCGTGCGCGGATCGTGCACGGATCGTGCGCGGATCGTGCGCGGATCGTGCACGGATCGTGCGCGGATCGTGCACGGATCGTGCGCGTCCAGGGTTGTTGAGAACATAATACGTATCTTACAGACCCTCCAATCTCATGATGTCCACAACCCTACTGTACGAGAAGGTAGGGTAAATTTACCCTCCTTCCTCAACATACCTGTACGTACAGGGTTGTTGAGAGGTTAGGGTAATACATCCTGCCACTATATCTGACATGGTTGGGTAATTTTACCCTAAGTTCTCAGCATGGTCGTGACCTTACCTTACCCTACTCCCTCAACAACCCTGTACGTACAGGTATGTTGAGGAAGGAGGGTAGGTTTACCGTAGCCTCTGGACATTCCCCCACAATTTGGACCTAGTTCATTTTTGTGCCCTGACAAAGCCAAGTTCTCAACAACCCTGGACGCGCACGATCCGCGCACGATCCGCGCACGATCCGCGCACGATCCGCGCACGATCCGCGCACGATGCGCGCACGATCCGCGCACGATCCGCGCACGATCCGCGATGGCCATATTTTTCTGGCGCATGGTGTGCGTTTTTTTTTTGCATTTTATTTCTATGTACTTTCACATGTTAATTTATTAATAAATTAGTATGTGCTTGGAAATGCAAGTTGTATGTCTGGTGATGGTATTCCCGTCTTAAGATGTAGTCATTCAGAAGGATGCCATGATGATGTCCAAAACATCGCTTCAATGCCGTGATGGTGTCGGAAAAACCAATGGGATGCCGTGATGGTGTCCAAAACGCTTCGATGCCGTGATGGTGTCGGAAAAACCAATGGGATGCCGTGATGGTGTCCAAAACGCTTCGATGCCGTGATGGTGTCGGAAAAACCAATGGGATGCCGTGATGGTGTCGGAAAAACCAAGGGGATGCCGTGATGGTGTCCAAAACGCTTCGATGCTGTGATGGTGTCGGAAAAACCAATGGGATGCCGTGATGGTGTCGGAAAAACCAAGGGGATGCCGTGATGGTGTCCAAAACAACGCTTCGATGCTGTGATGGTGTCGGAAACACCAATGGGATGCCGTGATGGTGTCCAAAACAACGCTTCGATGCCAAGAATGCAGTAACGCCAACTTAATTATTTGACAATCAACTGGTTGTGCCCGCCTTTTGGCAGGCACCTTGGAATGACCAAGAGTATGATGCCGCGATGAAGTCAGCCAAGACCTATGTATCGCAGGGCAACCTTTTTTGGATGAATGTGAGGCAGTTGTGTTCGCCGACCGTTCCCATCAATTCTGCCTCATTGAAGAAAATCCAGAAGTCTTTTTTTGAGAAAGGGCCGGAGAAGTTGACCTTGGAAATCGTGGTAGGCGTAACCTCAATGGTCACCTCTGAGCGCTTTGAGAGCCTGAAAGGTGCCTTGCAACGGATTTCGCCGGAGGAAATCGACCACGCCTTGATCATGCACGTGGCTAAGAGGATCGGAGACGGTGCCTCCCAGGAAGAGCTTCTGTGACTTGGCTATCTTCTTTTGTGCTTTGTGAATATCTGGCGCCGTGACGGTGCCTCTGAATTTTGAAGTCTAGTTCATTCAACTCGTGGACATTTCCCCCATTGGGATCCCCTGGACCTGGACTCCCTGGACAGACGTTAACCCATGCCTCTGCAGCTGTAAAAAAAGTCTCCATTAATCTTTGATGAATCCTGACCACCATGCCAACTGAGGGCATGGCGAACAGTGTTCCTCTCAGTGAGCCTCCGCTGTGAGATGATTGAGACCAAAGAAGATGCCTTCTTCCGCTCTCTGACGTACCGACAGCGGTACATGTCCACCTACGAGAGTGCGGCGAGAAGCACCTTGCAAACCATCTTCGAGATCGCAGCGGTCAAAGCATCTTATGAGGAGACGCATACGGCCCAGCTGTCGAGATCTGATTTGGCTGATCTGTGGGTCCGAAAGAGCTGTGACCTGCCTGATGACGAAGACTGCCCAAAGACAGCTTTCGAGTTTGTCGACAGCGCCATGAAGGTCTTTGAAAGAATTCTTTCCGTGGACAAGCTCTTCGACGTGGTCTTTCGTTTGGAGCAGAAGTACGGAAAGCAAAGCTGCTTCCAGCACATGGCCGTACTTGAAGGGATTTGCATCAAGACCAAGAAGTCCGAGGATCTCCTGTGGATCTTGGAAAGCATGGAAGATCTCTTGATCCGTGGAGAATCCAACAACAAATGCTTCAGTAGCCGAACATTGAAAGGCGGCCGCACTGGAGGAGGGACCAGAGGGCTCCTGGATGAGTTCTTGGCCAAGAAGAGCATTTTTGAGTACGTGTTGGAAGAGTCACAGAAATGGGGATTGAAGCCCGCACATGCCAACGGCATCAAGAAGGTGATGATCTCTCACAGTGAAGTGCGAAAAAGGTTGTTCGGAAGAGTTCAGATTCTTTTTCTATTGACGGGTGGTTGTATTTGATTTCCTTTGCACGTTGTTGATGTTTGATTTCCTTTAATCCCTTTTTATATTTCCTTTTTTTTCCCATTTTCATCTCGCTTTGCATTGCGCAGGTTCGAGGATGGGGCTGACTTGACATGGCTGGGCCAGCTGACAGAAGCCGAACGCTTGATCATCAACATGCTCAAGAATGTCGTCTTTCGATCTGGGCATGACAGCCAGCTTCGCAACACCTTGAAGGGGTCAACCTTGCCTGCGGACATCGTATGCCATGACCCTTTCAAGACAATGATGGAAACTATCCATGAAGAGATTGAGAAGGTGAAGGCGGCAGAGGAAAAAGAAGCAAATGAAGATGAGTCAGATGAAGATTCTCCAGCCCAGAAGAATGTCATCGTGCATGACCTGTTGCCCCGAATGTCTTTGGAGCTGGACCATGAAGATGAGAAAGCGCAGCAGCTGATGGCTTTCGCCAAGCAGGCTGAGGAGATCGTAGATCAATTTGTCAAATTGGTGGTCGAGCAAGACTCAGTGCAGGCAATGGGCCAGATCATGGAAAACTGCGTGTCTCTCACCGGGGCCAAAAGGGCGATCTTTGTCTATGACTCCAAGGTTGCAGGAGAGGCGACGGCCCAGAGTCACATTCGACGGCCTCAGTTTCGCCGTGATCATTTTCAGAAGATTTGCTCCTCATTCGTCCGAGGCAGAGGTGGACCACAGCCACGAGAGGGCGACATGGTGATCTTTTTCGATGGTGGACGCCAACTTGCTCCTATGGTGCTCAGTGCGTGTGTGAAGATTACAAATGCCGAGGACCATGGGCAGCATTGGGAAAAGAAGCAGAGGCAGGAGATGATTATTCATTACTGCGAGCAGTCCATCCGAGCTCGCAGGTGCTTGGTGCGAGGCCTCATTCCGACCCATGAGGGAATTCACATCGTCACCTCTGGGCCCGTGTTGGTGCAGGACATCCCTCGCAAGATCTTCTCCGGCACGAGCTTGAGCACGGCAATTGGTCCTGTGAAGCTTCTTCCTTTTGATGAGGAGCAAGGCTTTTGGCTCATTAGCAAGGAAGAGAAGGATAAGATCTATGGACCTGCTGGAAAAGTCTTGTCCGGAGGAGCGCTGCCTGATTGCCCAGATCGTCCAGATTTGGGGGAAGATCATATTCCAGTGAACTACCATGTGATGCCACAGGCGGTGTTCGCAGAGTTGCTGCACTCCTTTCAAGCCAGCGTGATGGTGAATGCAACTGAGATCGATGGCAAGGGCGCTGAGGCGGCAATCTTGGCCAAGAAGTCGTACATTGGTGTTACCTTCACAGAGTATCATGCCCAGCAGCTGAGGAAGCTCCTTGTCCGCTTCGTTTGGGAGCAATTCAAGGACCAATCCTCTCCGCTCTACAATGTTGAAGTGTGCCTGGGACACAAGTGGAATAATAAATAGATAAATAAATAAAAATAAATAAATAAATAAATATATATATAATTTGTATATATATATATATGTATATTAATATATATATGTGTATAAATATATATGTATATATATATATATTATATGTATATATATATTATATGTATATATATATACATGTTATATATATATATATGTATACACATGCACATTTCAGAACACCTAGAAACTATTTTGAAGAAGCGGATAATTCAATCATTCCAAATACAGACCATGCGTGAATCGTTGTGATGTCATTTGAGGCAGACCCTCCTCAAAGCTCTTGGTGGCAATCCCAATGCGAGCACGCCCCTTCCTCTTGGTAGCAGTGGTGGCAGTGGTGGCAGTGGCAACACCGTTCAGCCAAGTGCAAGCGGAAGAGGAAAGGGCGGAAGAGGAAAGGGCAAGGGTGGTGGCAAGGGTGGTGGCAAGGCTGGCAGCAAGGCTGGTGGCAAGGCTGCTGGTGGGAAAGCTGGTGGTAAGGCTGCTGGCAAGTCAAAGAGCAAAAAGCGTGCAGCCGGAGAGGATGATGCATCTGATGGTTCCAAGAAGCAAAAGACATCAGAGGAAAGCTCCAAGAAGGAAGAGATCATGAACAAGCTGAAGATGCTGACCCGGCAAGGCATGATCGAGGACGACGATGATGACGATGATATGGCCGACGAGGCCGAAGAGTGAATCCGGTCGGCTGGAGAAGTAGCCTTATCATTGACAGTCGGCAGATGGCGCAAGTCAAAGAGAATGGAACTGTATTGGATTTCAAAAGACTTGAATGAAATGCATGCAGATATCCGAGATTGCAGCTTTCAATTTTGTTTTTGATTACATCTTGGTTCGCATCGAATCGTGTCAAAAGACTTGTGGGTATGCCAACATCCCTGATTCTGGGATAAGCCGGCTGTAGAATCCTTAATCCCACGTTACGTGGCTCGAGGTATTTCGCTAACTTGGAAAAATTGTCAAGTTTTTGATTTTGGAACTACAGTAGGCAAATTTTGCGTTCAAGTAATTCTCAATTCAACCTTTTGATTTGAAACTACAGCGACGTGCCTCACATGGTTCTGGCTTTTTCCACATCTTTCATGGATACAAGGTGACAGTAATTTTGGGGGGTGGCCAACCGTGCCATTCCTGAATCCTTGAGTTGCTTTCCCTGCTGTTGTAGTAGGGGTGCCTGCTGTCCCAGCGGGTTGATGTCTCTCAGGAGACTGATTAATTTCATTACTGAGCGTCGTCCAGAAAATCAACTGGCCTGAAAATTCAGGAGACGCATCAGAAAATCGATCATCGACTGAGCGCAGCGATGTGAGACATTGCCAGACCGAGAGAAAATGCAGACACCATCACGGCGTCTTTGACGTTCTAGGACACCATCTCGGCATCCATTTAGATCAATCATTGCATCTAGAAGGACACCATCTCGGCATCCTTTCAATTCTTCAACGCCCCAAGGCTGGGACCTCATCAACTTGGAAGTTCGGACCTGAGTCCAGCGCAGGGAGTTTGAGTCCATTTCTCCAACCATTGCCAGCACAGTGTCACATTGTAACGGCTTAATCACGTGGATGCCGAGATGGTGTCCTAGAAAATGACGCCGTGATGGTGTCTAACCACTTAATGTGACAGCGCTAATAACCACAAACACAATCCCAAATGAAATCTTTGCAGCGTCGAAACATTTGGGAACACATTGACCGCTTGTCCTTGTTCATTCTCACTTAGTTGGCTTTCTAGGACACCATCTCGGCATCCTTTCAATCTTCAACGCCCCAAGGCTGGGACCTCATCAACTTGGAAGTTCGGACCTGAGTCCAGCGCAGTGAGTTTGAGTCCATTTCTCCAACCATTGCCAGCACAGTGTCACATTAAAGCATCAACAAACATGACAAGAAGGGAAGTACAGGTTGCAACATGTTGTAACGGCTTAATCACGTGGATGCCGAGATGGTGTCCTAGAAAATGACGCCGTGATGGTGTCTAACCACTTAATGTGACAGCGCTAATAACCACAAACACAATCCCAAATGAAATCTTTGCAGCGTCGAAACATTTGGGAACACATTGACCGCTTGTCCTTGTTCATTCCCACTTAGTTGGCTTTCTAGGACACCATCTCGGCATCCTTTCAATCTTCAACGCCCCAAGGCTGGGACCTCATCAACTTGGAAGTTCGGACCTGAGTCCAGCGCAGTGAGTTTGAGTCCATTTCTCCAACCATTGCCAGCACAGTGTCACATTAAAGCATCAACAAACATGACAAGAAGGGAAGTACAGGTTGCAACATGTTGTAACGGCTTAATCACGTGGATGCCGAGATGGTGTCCTAGAAAATGACGCCGTGATGGTGTCTAACCACTTAATGTGACAGCGCTAATAACCACAAACACAATCCCAAATGAAATCTTTGCAGCGTCGAAACATTTGGGAACACATTGACCGCTTGTCCTTGTTCATTCCCACTTAGTTGGCTTTCTAGGACACCATCTCGGCATCCTTTCAATCTTCAACGCCCCAAGGCTGGGACCTCATCAACTTGGAAGTTCGGACCTGAGTCCAGCGCAGTGAGTTTGAGTCCATTTCTCCAACCATTGCCAGCACAGTGTCACATTAAAGCATCAACAAACATGACAAGAAGGGAAGTACAGGTTGCAACATGTTGTAACGGCTTAATCACGTGGATGCCGAGATGGTGTCCTAGAAAATGACACCGTGATGGTGTCTAACCACTTATGGACCAATAATGGATGCCGAGATGGTGTCCTAAGACAGGCAATGTCCCTTTTCATGCCCAGCTTTTGAGTGAGTTCAAGTGAAACGTTTGCGCCTTTGAATTCACGTGAATCGTTTTTGCATCTACTTTCTGGATTTTTTCCGCTTGTCATACTTCACGATAGCGGAGTAGACCTGAGCTGGGTCTAGGTCTATGTATCCTTGGTATACCCGGGCAGAGTCAATCTGTGCCCATGTCATCCCCACTTGTTGATGAATGCCAGCAGCAGCTAGTTCGCTGATTGCATGGCGTCTTCCACTGTGGGTCCGAATGTTTTTTCCATTGATCAGCTCGGGCATGGTGTCGCCAAATTTGTGAAGAAAGGTATCCCCATGTTTTTTCACATGGCGCGCCACAATATCTTTTGAAATGTGGCCTTTCGTTGAGCCGCGTTGTGAAGGGAAAATGTCCCCATGGGAAGGCCATTTCCATTCCTTGGCTCGCCACTCTTTCAACTCCTTCACAATCGATGGCACTAGTGGCTTCCATACGCCCCTGTGTCGCTTAAACGCTTTAAGCCAGACACGTTTTCCGCGCATGTCAAAGTCTTCGACCTTCAGCTGACACACTTGTGTCACTCGACAACACAAGGCCTCGATCAGCACCATGATGTAGTAATACTTCCTTGGCGCATTCTGTCCGAAATATTTTAGCCAGCGAGACCAGCATTTGCCCGGCAATGAGTGCGCTTGGCCGAGGCGCTTTCCCATGGTTCTACTCTTCGACTGGACGCAAACATGTCAATCAGCTTGAGGCTCAGTGTCAAAAGCACAACAGTGAAACGCAACGGAGAAACACATTGAGTAAAAGTACCATTATATGAGAAGCCATATTCGGCCGTGCCGTGACATATCAAGCCTGCCATCCAAGCACTTTCACAGCATCTCGGGACTTATTACAGTAAATCACCCGAAAAAAACATTCAGTCACCTAGGTCACTTAGGTCACTTAGGTCACTTAGGTCACTTAGATCAATTAGGTCACTTAGGTCACTTAGATCACTTAGGTCACTTAGGTCACTTAGATCACTTAGGTCACTTAGGTCACTTAAGTCACTTAGGTCACTTAGATCACTTAGGTCACTTAGGTCACTTAGACTACTTAGGTCACTTAGGTGTCACTCACTTGAGTCACTTATATAGGTCATTTACGTCACTTGGTCACTGCCCTCGATTGCGGCCATGGCACTTGTCCAGATGATGCAGTGGCTTCCCAGTGCTGAGATGCCCCCGGCACCTTCTCAGCGTGCACAGCAAATCATGGACAGGTCCTTTCAATTCAAGTACTTTCATAGCGGTACCACCCGCTATGATGAGTGGATCTTCCTGGAACCAGGGAGCAACAATAACATCTACTTCATGAGAAGAACCGCCAAGCCCCTCGGCAAATTATTAATGTGTCTTAGACTCCGTGATGGTGTCTCAACGATGCCGTGATGGTGTCATTTGTGCACGCGGTCATGGTGTGCAATGTTGAAACTCTAATACGATGCTGTGATGGTGTCGCATGTGCACGCCGTGATGGTGTGCAATGTTCAATCTACGATGCCGTGATGGTGTCGTATGTGCACGCGGTTATGGTGTGCGATGTTGAAACTCTAATACGATGCCGTGATGGTGTCGCATGTGTGATGATGTGCAATGTTCAATTTACGATGCCGTGATGGTGTCGTAGGTGCACGCGGTCATGGTGTGCAATGTTGAAACTCTAATACGATGATGGTGTCGTCGTATGTGCACCCGGCCAAGGACCCAAAGGGTAGCTTTCGATGGCTGCGGTCACTGGCGTAAATCCACGGGCTTCATAAGCCTTGATGCCTTCGCATGCTGCAGCGGAATTAGGCTCCACGATTTGCAGTTTCGGCGAGTACATCCCAGGGTTTCTTGGTCCTGCATTTTTTATTCCCCAAAGATCCCAAAAAAGGTACCAAAATCATATCCTGTACTTTTTTCCCCCTTTTTGGACGTCCGACCAATCTTGTTTAAGGTCTGGCGTTGTACGGACGAGGGCCAAGTGCGCTGGATGATGTTGTTCCGCGGGCCGGTGGCGTCAGAGCCACCAGCACCGATTCTGGCACTTACCAATGGATGATCAAGATGATCTTGGATGTGAGGGCATGAATCGGCCATCAAGGCCTTGGATGTCTGAGGGCACCAGGAATCGGCCATAAATCAGGGCCTTGTGCTTGGATGTGCACACTTGGGGTTACATGTGAGATGTCCAAAAATAAGGTTGCAATTACCCCCCGCAAAAGCTACGGTGAGCTAAGTATTGGAATCTGTGCATCCAAGCTGGAATCGGCGCACAGTACGCCTTAAACCTTTGGCCAAGGCAAGAAGCTTTTAATGGCCAATGCAGGGCAGCTTTGGGTAAATGCTTTTGGCAAACACAAGGCCGCAGTTACCCTCACAAAAGCAAAAGCCGCCTTTTGGGCAAAAAGGCGGCTGTCCGGATGACTTCATTCACTTTCACATGCTTGAGCTTTTTTTGCATGGTTTTTTCTTTGCATGAGCTTGCATCTTTTGTGTGTCCGCTTGTGTGCGTCCGAGGCCAGGGCCTTCTTCGGTTCTCGGTGTTGTTCAAGTTCAAGTTTCTTCATGGCCATCGCCTTAGCGCGCCATCATGTGACACCTTCACGGCATCAGATTGCACGCACACCATCACGGCATGCTCGTGTGACACATTCACGGCATCAACATTGCACGCACACCATCACGGCATGCTCGTGTGACACCTTCACGGCATCATCATTGCACACACGCACACCATCACGGCATGCTCATGAGACGCATGAGACACCTTCGCGGCATCTTGTGCTCATGATGAGACACCGTCGCGGCATCTTTAGGTCGAGGCCAGCCAAGGGCGTGGGTTGCCTCAGAAAGAGCGAGACGCAGTGATGGTGTCA